AGACAGGTACTGTATATCATGTGACTGGCCATTTGCCTTTGGCATACCCAGGGAATGATGAAGCAGACACATTGGCCCAGGTGCACTGGCTAGAAGGAAAGCCTGCCTCTGGTGTGGCCCAATGGCTACATCAGCGTTTGTTGCATGCAGGGCAAAAGACAATGTGGGCCCATCAGTGGGGCTTGCCATTGACCTTTGAAGAAGTCAGCAGAGCCCAGGAGTTCCTTGTGTACTCTATGAGGGAGTTACACCAAGTCCCACAGCAACATGGGACAAAGTAAGGGGCCAATACCCCTTGTCAGGTGGCAAATAGACTATATTGGGCCTCTGCCCATATCAGAAGGATATCAGTATGCCATGACATGTGTGGACATGGCTCTGGACTATTGGGTGCTTTTCGTGCATGTTGTACAGATCAGCAAACCACCAAGAGGGGCCTGGAGCATCTCTTTGCAGCCTATGGCCGGCCGCAGGTGATTGACAGCAATCAAGGCACCCACTTTACTGGACATGCATTATAACAATGGGTGCAGCAATTAGGAATAAGGTGGAAATTTCATGTATACCATATAATCCTACTGGGGCAGGCATGAAAAAGAGGAACACAGTTTGTTGAAATCTGGTCTAAAGTCGGACACCAACAGTCTGTGGGGTTGGTCAATTTGCCCATGGACAGTGCTGCGACGTTTGAATGAGAAGCCACATAAAGGAGCTTTGAGCCCTGTAGATATGATCACACACCTTGCTGCCTCTCCTATACAACTGTACATCCAAACCAAAGAAGAGTTATTGAAGCCAGGATATGGCCAGAAGAGCAGCATCCTGCTGCCAGCCCCAACTGTATTAAGGCCTGGAGACACTGTTGAGTAGACCTGGCCCTGGACATTTTGACGCATGGACCAGCCATGGCTGGCCCTTCTGGCGCCTTGGGGGAAAGGCCTGGAAGCTGGCCTCATGTGTGTTCCTGGAGTAACAGCTGAATGGCCCCCAAAAGGTCACAGTAGTGTACCCTAAACGTCCAGGAGGTAAGAGCATCTTTATCTTTATAGCCAGTGCATGTAACTCCCACAGGGAGGAGGGTGAAAGTCTGGTGACTAGACCAGGACAAGATCCCATTCCTGCCACTGTTTTATCACAAGACCATTCTTTTGCATGTATCCTACCTGATGGACAAGATGTACCTATGCTGGTGTCATTAAAATATGTATCTTATCACCCTTAAGGTAATTTTCTCCAACAGTCCTTGTGGCCCAAATGTGCCCCCTGGCTGCAGCTGCCGCATGATTGCTCTGAACCCTCAGCTACTGCCTGCCTATGGAATGGACGGGCTGTGGACTTAATGTGCATTAAGATTTTTAACCTTGCTGAATCAGGATTGAGGATTGTCATTTTATGCTGTTGCTATGTTATGTCATTAGTCTGGTCACAATGCTCCGGTTTTCTCGCCCAGAGACCATTGCAGAAGAAGGGGAACGAGTAGATTGTAAGGCGAGATTTCTGGAGGAGTGGCCTGCGTTTAAAATTGTAACATTTCCAGTATCTTGCCTGGCTTTAGTGCATTTGCATATCCTCAGGGGTGGAGAGTTCATCTCCATATCAATGGGTAATTACCTGAGCAACCAAAGGTGTGTCTAAGTGTGTCTGAGCCTGAAAGTTTAAAAGGAGCAGCTGGTGGCTGGCTTGCTCTTCCGATCAGAGTCCACCCTGGACTGCAGTTTGTAAGCAATAAAAGGCTTTTAAACTTTATTTCTCCCTTTGACTTCGGTTTTTAGAGGTATTTTGCCCTGGGATTTCCTTTCCCCGAACTTACAGAAAGCACAATTAATTCAGCCTCATTTTTCTTTTCTTATGCATATATCCTGTTTTCAGTCTAGACTCTTAGCACTTTGTTGAATATGTTTGCCAGTTTATATAGTGTTTAGGACAATGTTCTATGCAAAGTACGTGATTAACAACATCATTGATGTTGATAATGACCATGACAGGGTCATGGAAGAAAGCCTGACTTGACGTTTTGACACCTATCGTGGGATTTGGGAAAATCAATCTATTCTGCAGGCCCCTCTGGAGAGGGATAGTCTCATCAGTTGTTTTCAGGAACAACCACCCTTCTCTAGGTGGTTCTCTGGGAACTCTCTGCCTTGACTTTTTGCTTTTATTGTCTTCCTCACCTAAACTGATACATTCAGTTTGGGCTGGGTTGATTGGCACTTTGAAATGGAAGACACTTGATAAACAAAATGTAGTGTATCTGTACAATGGAATACTACTGAGTTTGAAAAGGAACAAAGTACTGATCCGTATTACAACTTGAATAAAACTTGAGAACATTATACTGTGTGAAAGAAGCCAGTCACAAAAGCCCACGATTCCATTCATATGAATGTCCAAAATAGTTCAATCCGTAGAGCAGAAATTAGACTAGTGGCTGGGGCTAGGGAGTAAGGATGGGGGCAGAATGATAGCTAGAAGTACAAGGTTTCCTTTTGAGTTCACGGAAATGCTCTGAAATTGACTGTGGTGATTATACTTTTCTGTGAATATAGTAAAAACCATTGAATTACACACATGAAATGGATTAATTTTACTGTATGTGAATTACACCACAATAAAGCTGTTTTTTAAAAAAGAAATTGAAAACTTTGTGTTCATGTTTTTTGTCCCCAACCCATATACCCTAGAATCTAGAATTCTGAATTTAGAATACTTATTGCCTGTAATTAAATGACTATTGCTTGCTTGTAGCTACTTTCTGTCATACCTTAGTTTGTACTATAATGTACAATTGTTTTCTTTCACCATGGGGGCATAATTAATGCCTTAGAATGAATGTAGTAATATATACTTGTATAAAGTAGTTGAGTCCTATTTTTTGTACTTGTACTTAGAACTAAGGAGTTCAACTTGAATTAGAATATCAAATGCAGAATCTTCTTGAATCTAGTATTCTATCACAAAACACATGACAGCTTCTAAAGGATAAATGGATAAGCCCATTTATTAAGTCTAAAGTTAGAAATGCTTTTATATATTCCACTCAAGTCTCTCTAGGACATATTTTTCAGGTGGCACTACACCGGTTCCGGATTCATCTCACCAAGAGGTAGATCAAGGGTAAGAAACCCAAGCACCAAATGCAGCTAACTTCCAAACATCTGCTTGCTCACATCTCACTGGAGCCCTTCATGCCCTCTACTCTATCATACCTGTTGTGACAATGACCCACAGCAGGCCTAGTACTTCTCATAGCTCTCGGCTTTGGCTCACCCTGATATGAAATCCTCTTCCTCCCTTCCATCCTCTAAGACTAAGCTCAAAGTTTTCCATGAAACTTTCCCTGAACAACCCAGTCCTCACAGTCCAGCGTATACATTTGGTCTACTATTTGGGGTCCCATCACACATGACTTGTACCTATTTTATATCACCTTAAAGTTAAGATGGCTTTCCAAATGTAGCGCTTAAGATTGTAGCACACTTGAAAGGACCATTTCTATATTCTCAATGTAACATTTTCTTGGATGAAAGTATTATAGGGATACCCAATAAACTGATTTAAAAATGTCTATAAGCCATCTTGTTAGATAAACAAATTATAGTTGGGTATCTATCTAAAGGATGCAAAGTACTTCCCTCTAAACCATCAGACAAATGAGAGATGATAGCAGATTCCCTAAAGGTCCAAGCAGGGTTTGGAAGCTGGAGGGGGGTACAAAGAACTGATGAAAGCAGGAGTGGTGACAGGGCCACTCCAGGATGCTTTTTCTTTGTGCTGGTCTCAGCTAAGTAGGTCATCCTTTATTACCACATAAAGGATGTTAAGTTTTCCAAAGCTTTCTGTCCAAAATTCCTCTTCCATATTCTAGTACTACTAATTAAAATGTTTCCACTATTAGAGTCATCCAGCACTATCTTTTCTCAAAAGGCAAATAACCTTGGGAGGCTAGTAGGGTTTTCAGTCATGCCAGCCAGCTGAATGTAAGCCAACAGTGCGGTGAGCCAACAAAGGGTGACGCCTAGACACTGCGTCACAGGGAAGTTCTGACCAAGCAAAAGTCAAGAAAGACGAGCCCAAAAGGATGCAAGAGGAGGGAAGGAGGCACTCAAACAAGCTGAGTATGGGCCAAATTCACAGGTTTGCCTGGGGCTGGTAGAATTCTGATCAGCACTGGCATGGAATGGAGCAGAGAAAGGGTATTTGCCCACCTTGTCAGAATGGACCACATCAATTATGGGAGAAGTTAAGGTAGGGAAAGAAAGAAACCAACAGGAAATATAACTAGGGCTTGACAAGGAAGTGATAACTATGGGACAGCTGAGATTAGTGAATTAATTCAGATATTCTTGAGAATAGATAAGGAGTGAAAAATCAGAAGGCAAGGGTCAGAGGCAAGACTGGTCTTAGGGAAGTGGCTATCACGTGCCAGAAGTTAGCCCTTCCTTATCTCTAACATCTTTATCTTTCATTGCTCTGCCTTTCCTTCCTTCTTTCCTGCATTCACATCACCTCAACTTGGTTCTTAGCTACTCGTCTGAGAAGCATAATCACATGAGACATGCACAGTCTTGCAGTCTTTCTTGGTGAACTTGGTCTGCATCCCAAATTACACAAAAAAGAAGATATCGCTTCATCTTTCTCTTTAATCTCAAATATGATAGTAGCACAGAGGTATGACTCATTCTTGAGTGGTCTCTGGTGCTTTGGGGGAGGCAGAACTGAGCCCCCAGGAATGTAAAAGTGTCATCATATTATGGGCATACACATGGGTGTGTGGTAGGGCTTGCAGTCCAGCTTTTGGGGCAGCAGAGGGGGAAACGGTGGGAGAAGTGGGAAAGATCAAAGATAGGGACCTTCCTCTCCTTCCTGCTACTGTGTAGGGGTAGAGGGACAAGACCCCAGCAAGGGGCTGAAGCAGCGCTAGCACTTGGATCCTGAGGAAGCAGCTGGCCTGGCTAACTGTTGTCAGGCAGTGTAATGTTACCAATAAGAATGGAGATAAATTGCTCCAATTTCTGTGCAGCTACTCTCCCAGACTCAAGTACTTCCTCGTGATTGGCCTTTTCCCGGCTTTCATAATCCATGATGACCATGTTAGTGATGAGGGAGAAGCCGAAGACTCGAAGTCCGCAGTGTCTCGCAACTATAACTTCTGGTACTGTGCTCATGCCTGATGAGAAGAGGGGACCAGATGTCAGGAGCCTCACATTTATCCTTGCCCATTAGCTTCATCTCCATTTATCACCTCACTGACAATTCAACATCTTAAAAATACATCCAAAGAAGCAGCTGAATTAGTGTTGAGCTTATGTGGTTCTGTACTGCTGAAAAGAGTGAGGCCTCAGAGGGCCTTGCTCATTTCTTATACATATTACCATAGCCATGCTTTCTTTATGTTTCTGTACATGGTCATTTTGAAGTCAGTTCCATCTTCCAGCCACCAGTATAGAAGGTGGCTATAATGGTATTTGTTAGAATAATCCTGAGAAAGTCATCAAATCATGGATAAGTCATTAGCATTACAGCTGGTAAAGCCCTTGCTGCTGGGTGGGGAGGTGTGATGCTACACACCCCAAACCTCACCTCCTTCTCTCCATTTTCCAACTATTTCCTTTCTCTCCCTATTTCACCAGACCCCTCCCTCTTCCATCCTCCAGCCATGTTCCCTTTCTCACCAACAGCATCTGCACCCAGCATATGCAGCAGGCGACACTCTGCCACAGTCTCAAAGTTGGGGCCTGCCAACATCACATAGGTGCCTTCCTGTAGCTCTCTCTGCTCCCCCATTTGTTTCCAGATAGTGTGAGCCTTCTGTCTCATATCCAAGTCATAGGCATCAGACATGGCAGGGAAACGGACTCCAAACCTAGGACACAGGTTGGATTATCTCAGATTAATGTACTACAGTGAGCTCTGGCCTAACTCCCAGATAAGTCCTTAAACACTACCCATCTATAAAAAAGGGAGCAAGACACATACCTTTCATCATTGGGCCCCCTGAGAGGGTTCTGACCACAGAAACCAGGCAGATTGATGTGATCACGGATCAGCATGATATCTCCAACCTTAAACTTGCAGTTGAGCCCTCCAGCTGCATTGGTGACCACTAGGGTGTTCACACCCAGAAGCTGGAAAACCCTCACTGGGAATGTCACCTTAGAAGCAAAAGATAAAGGATCAGAAAGTATTTTTTTTTTTTTACATAAACAAAGCAAATCTATAATTACCAGCCATCTCCAGTGAAGCCAAGAAAACCATTTAGGCACCCTAGGCATTTGTGAAGATCAGAAAGTATTTTTTTAAATGTAGCTATCCACCCAAGCAGATACACATCATGAGAGAAGAGAAAAGAGAGAAACAAATCTTCCTAGCCCAGGTAGCTAGGTAATAAAATCGGATAGAGAGCTTTTTCCCCCTTCTTCCAGATCCAGCCAGGCTCATGCCTTTATGTACCTTCCAGAGCGGATAGCCTTCATACATGTGGAACCTGCCCTGCATCATCACACAAGCTTTGCCATTCAGGAACCCAAACACCAGCCGACCAGCATGCCCTAGCACTGTATACAAAAAAGAAAGGGAATGAATGGAATGCTGCTTTCATACAATACATATCCACAGAGCGCATAATATCATTGTACTCAACATGTGAGGGTATCATTAAGCAAAAGAAGACATCACCATCTTCATGTTCAGAAAGTTTAAGTCTGAGAGAGACAGAAATTAATCATAAACTTACAAATAAACATACAAGTACATCTGAGATTAGAGCTACGGGTGTAAGAATGTTCAATGAGAATATATATCAAAGGAAGGAAGGGCAGACTTTTTGAAGAAATTTCAAAAGAATGAGAAAGCCACACTGCAGAAGAATCAAAGTGAGTAAAAAATACAGTAAGTGGGCAATAATGAATGCAGTGAATACAGTAATTATAAACCTCTTTGCCAAAATTTTCATAATTATCAAAATGAGGACTCTTATTACCCTAACTAAACTATATGCCTCCTCACTCCTAAAAGGGAGCTTATAGTGTATTCCAGCTTCTCAAGAGGCTAAACAAGGGGAGAGGAGCAAAGTTTGGACATACAAGTCTCCTCCATTATGACCCACCCAACAATCCTGTGGAATACATGGCCACAAAGGAGCACGCCAAGGCGCGGGGGTGCAGGTAACTCCCCACAGACATATTGACCATTACCATTTCCATTATCTGGCACTTCTCCTTTAAAGGACATGACCAACCTATCTCTTATGGATGGGTGGTCTGGAAGAGGGACCAAACTGCAGAAATACAGGAGCTTAAGAGAAAAACTGGCAGTAATAGAGCAGAGGTGACAGAGTGACAGAGACAGGTGACAGGAAAACCCAAGTGGAGTATAAAAAACAGGTTGATAAAGTTTAAAAATCAATCCACTTATCACTTAGAGCAGTGCCCTTCTCACTGGGGGTAGGAGTGGCAGATGGAGCCAATATCTCTACTATCTCCCAAGAAACTTTGCCTTCCCTCTCTTTTTCGTATTTCTTCTGCAACTACCATTCCCATCTCTCTGCTATGGTCTCCCAGTCTTGCTCCAAAGGGTTTGAAAAATATCTTTTAAAAGTATTAACTCTCATGAAAATGACCAGAAAAGAGACTTTAAATAGGGGCAGGGAAAGAACTCTCCCACCCCAAATAAAATGTAAAGGGAGAGCAGGAGAAAAAAAATCTAAGATTCTTTATAATTCTTTCTTAACAGTTAATGTTTGTTTGTTTTTTATTGAAGTATAATTGACATACAATATTTTAGTTTCAAGTATACATCACAGTGATTTGATATTTTTATACATTACAAAATGACCCCCACAATAGGTCTAGTTACCATACAAAATTATGACAACGTTATTGACTGTATTTCCTATGCTGTACATTACATCCCTGTGACTTATTTTATAAGTGGAAGTTTGTACCTCTTAATTCCCTTCACTTATTTTCCCTGCCTCCCCAATCACTTCCCCCTCCGTTTAAAACCCAACAGTTTGTTTCCTGTATTTGTGAATCTGTTTCTGTTTTGTTTTGCCTTTTAGATTTCACATAAAAGTAAAAGCATACAAAAAAAAAAAAGTATTAACTCTCTGGGGAAAAAGGAAGAAAAGAAGATATCAATAGTTAATAAATAAACCAACCTAAGTTAATTATCTGAGAAATTAATAATGAAGTACCCTTGCCCTTTACTTGCCCCTGTTTCACCTGGCCATTGTCTAAGCACCAGTTTTAGAGCTTTCTGGCTGCTATTCGAACGCTGGATATGCTATCCTCAGATTCCTCAGAGCTCCACTGTGCAGAGGGGATGTCTGCCCCTGCCCCCTCCCAGCAGTCAGCATGAATCAGGTCTTGTGTATTCATGTATTATCTGTGTCCTTGTCTGCAATACCATGGCAGTCTGCTGTTCATTTGTCACTGTGCACCAGCTGTGCCTGCTCCCAGGACTGGAGTTAGAGATGGGGATATTGGGAATGGCAGGAAGACACAGCACAGGGAGGCCTTACTTTGTCCTGGAAGGCTGCAGATGGAAAGAAATGAGGCCGGTGGTGGGGGAGGTGGGAAGTAGGTGGTGACCATGGTGTGTATGGGGAAGGAGCTATAGAGCTTTAACCATCTCTGAGTCATGAAAGCATAGTGTATATATCAGTATGTCATTATATAAACACACATGCCTTGTCTGTTATGAAAATTCTACTTTAGAAAATTCCTTCTCAAGTCCTCCTGATTCATGGTGGTCTTTTCTCCTCTCTTACAACAGTTGTCTTCAGTCAAATGCTAGAGAGGATAAGCAGGTCCAGGCATAGAAGCATTGTCCTCCCAACAGAATCCGATTAATATCCTTCAGTCCCATCCCTCTCTACCCCTTGCCAGTCAGTACCTGTACTTTGAGGAAAGTTTGGTATCTCACTGTAGTCAAAGCTCTGGGCCTGAGTTACTTTATCAGCCAGAGCTCCTAACCCAGAACCACAGATAACTGCCACTTGAGGTCGGTGCTTGGTGTGGGACAGAAGCCATTTTGCAGTGTTCTGATAATCTTCATATGTGCATCTAAGAAAAAAGGAAAACCAAGGTAAGTTTTGCTCCCAGCCCAAGGGCACCATAGACTAATGGCCTCCAGTGTAGAAAGACTGGCAAAGTATACTGAAGTGGCAAGGGACAGAGAAACTTGGTGGGGAGTCTCTTCACTCTCAGAAGAGGCCACACTAAGGTCACACCCACAGACCCACTCCTTTCTCAGTCAGACCACTGTCAAGTCTGACATGAAACTCTTCATTCCAGAGCCTGGCAAAAGCTAACGATGCCTCTGTTTCCCCACCAGCCCCACTCCAGTTTTGCCACCACCAGCAGGCTTAATACCTCTCCTTAGGACAAAGCTTTAGAGAAGAAAAGACCACAGATCTACAGAGAAATACAGCAAAATAATCAAATCAAGGAGAGTAAAAGGACTGGGCCTGAGGAAGAAGACCAAGGAGCACACTAAGGACTTTCAAAATGCAATTCAGACTACCCAGGAAGCAGGGGTAACCCTAATTTCCTTTTGGACACTTATCCTCTAGCTCCTCCCTCAGAAAAACACTTAATTTTTTGATTGACAAAAAGAAAGTAATGGGAACACTCGTAACAGAAAGTTGTGACAGCTAGTTCCCCTGTCTCCTTATTTCTGATATCCAGACCCACACAGACCTGTGTCTTATGGAATTGCAAGAGGTCATTCGTAACTGGAGACTAGACAAACTACTACAGAAAAAAGCAGACCTCATCCGCAACTTCTGTTGTCAATGGCTGGAATAGAGCTGACTGCTTAAGTTTCTCAGCAGTAGACTGGTAAAAATAAAGATTCTGGAGCCCACCTTTAAAGATTCATAATTCTGGGGAGAGGCCCCAGAGTCTGTACTTCTTACAAAAATGCCTCAAGTAATTCTGTTTCAAAAACCAGGTTTAGGAATTACTGGTGTAGAAGGAGAAAACAGAACTCAACTGAATTCTAGTTCCATTTTGTCTTTGGGTAATTAACTTGTGCTTCAAATTTCCTTTAGTGTAAAGCAAGGGAACAAAAATCAGCCCCACCTATTTGATAAGCTCAGTTTGATAATTAATTTAAAATGTATTAACAAGCTCCAAAGACCTTAAGACTCCATAAATCAAGGTTCAGGTCCACAGCACTTGAACATTTCTCCCACCTTTGCCTGGCCTGTGATCTCCTCCCTGCCTTCCCCCATATTATCTTCTCTTCAACCATGGCGCTTTGTGCTTCAGAGACCTAATGACATACACTTACCCAGAAGCTGTACTGCCCCAAGAAGCAAGCCAGAATTTCTCACTATTCCAGGTCAATTCTCTTACCCATTCAAGAAAACCACAGATTGAAGGGGTTGGGGGGGTGGGAGAAGGTGGAAATAAGGTTTTGACAGCTGAACACAACTAACCAAGTCTACAGAGAACATTTCTTCAGAAGCACAGTCTTTGTAACCTGATGATTCTACAACATGCCAGGCAACCTCAGGGAAGTGGCTGGGAAAGGGACAGGGTGGGGGCAATAAAGCTGGGGCCACGGGGTGATGGAAAAGAGAAGCAATGAAATGGTAAAAAGTTAATCAAATAGCATTCCGGAGAGGTGCAAAGGAAATGAAAAAGGTGTGAGGGCCCGGGCAAGCTAGCTTACCCAGACAGGGTTACAGGACTTCCTCATGGGCCGCCAGTCCCCCCAAAATTCCCTGGGTCCCTGGGCATCCAAAAGCCACTGCAATCCCTACTGCTGGATACTTAGAATGGGATTTCCAGGACCAAAGCGGAGAGAAAGGTTTTCAAAGGTGTGGGCTGGGCGAGTGGGCAGGGTCTGTTGCTCAGTTTAATGCATAAGGATTTTCTTCTCTCCTTGGAGATTCCATCCCCAACTTAACTGGACCTCCTAAATTGGAGGGAAGATCAGTGTTGACAAGGGACGTGAGACACCTCTCCTCTAAGGAGGTACTAGGATATGGGCACCATTAGTACCTCGCGGCTTAACCTACACTCCAGAGTGGGAACTGTGTAGAGCACAGGGGCTGGTCTTGTGTGTCTGCAGCGGGAGGGGGTGGGAGAAGCTCCCTCTGCACTTACACCCTCAAAGCGCGCGCGCGGCTCCCCCCACGAGTAGGCTAGGCTGTACTGAACTGCCCTCCTTCTGCTCTGGTGGCGCCACCCCTGCTCGATTCCCGCTCGCGCCCCTGCGGGCGCCGGCCACCACACGGCTCTGCCACCTTGCCCCTGACACCGGGCCCCATGCCAGGCCTCCGTAAGTCCAGGGAATCGCTCCCTCTCCCGGCGCCCTCGAGGCCCACAGCGCCGGATTTCCAGGTTTCAGTGACGGCTATTTCCCCTTCCAGAACTAGTGCCCAATTCACCCGGGGTTCCCCGGGCCTGCTGTCCTACTCACCCGCCCTCCATGGCCCCGTCGACACCCTCTAGGGTAGCCAGCCGTTCTCCGTTCGGATCTGCTCAGCTGATCAGAACCGCCACGCCGGTGCAGTCCGCTCTGTCCCGGGCCTGGCTGCTGGGCGCTCACTTATAGCCCTCATGCCCAGCCAATGGCAGCCGAGCACGCAGGGCCGGCCCCATCTCCATGGTGACACACAGGAATTCCGTTGCCGGAGGTTGAGCTGGGCTGTATATCCTCTCCAGTGCTTCCCAGCCCTGGAACCGCTTCTCGCGCCCCACCCAACCCCTGGAGGGGCATCCAGCATTTCATCGCCCGACCCCTTGCCGTCCGCTGGACCGGAGTGGAGAGAGCTAGAAACTGGGAGGAGAGCCCCAGAAAAGTTTATCTGTAACCACTCCACTCTCGGTGTGTGAGCGACTTGAATAGAGAAAATTTAAACCTTAGATCAGGCAACCCCAGAATAAAATTAAGTGAGCTGGCATCTAAATTGCTTCTTAGACAAAGGAAAACAGGATCCGGCCTAGCAATAATGCTGACATGGAGGATACATTATTTGGGAGAGCACATCAAAGGTCTAAATCCAGGCCCAGCTGGGGAGAAGAAAAGTTTTTACGGGAAAGAATGCCTAGATCCTCCTCCACGGAAAGGATGGGGTGGGGTGGAGACAGGATAGAGAAACTCAGATAATCCCTTGATTCAGCAATACTGGATCCAAGCAGTTCATATAACTGGAGGAGGACTCCTCCCAAGATGAAAATCTGTAACAAGACTGCTCAATATCTTACAAGAATCCAGCTATTTCCTCTCTCCACTTTTACAAGCTTAACCAACCTTCCATAAAACTTGTAAATCAGTGGCCCTGGCTTAGCATTTGGAGTCCTCCACTTGTATCCACTCTCCTGAACTCTAATCTTTCCTGCTTGCTATTATTACCCACTACCATGGCCCAAGCCACTCTTTCCCATCCCTGTTTCTATCTCATTCACGTAACAAATATTTATTAAACATCAGCTATATATCAGCACTGTTCTAGTGCTAGGGACACAGGAGTAACAACTGGAAAGAAAAAAATGTATATATAAAGAACTGAGCCCAGAGCCAATGAATGGTTTATTCTATCATGATTGTTATTACTGGTTTATTGTTATTATTACCGTCATTCATCAGTAATTTTAACAAAGGTAACAACAGGGTGATCTAAAAGCAAAGATTCGCCTTAGTTATGAGACTATAGAATTGAAACTTAAAAAGCATGATTTTTTTTCTTTCTTTCCAGCTTTACTGAGATATAATTGACATATAACATATGTAAGTTTAAGGCACAGTGACAGAGCCGGGACAAGAGTCCTGCCTTTTTTAATATACTCACCCGCCATCTCAGAGAGACCTAGGTTTCATCTTTCCTAGGCTACAAGCATTCTCCGGAGGACTCGTCAGCAAGCCACAAACCCACCTTTTCTCTAACTCCTCCCCTCAAAAGCCCGCCAAAAAACCCAGCCAAAAAAAGCCTCTTAGCCTGTAAGAGACGCCTTCTTTGTTCTGCTGGCCAGAACAGAAAGGCTCCTCTCAAGTTTAGCAACAAATTTGCTTGGACTGTTGAGTTTGCATCCCTTCTTACCCTTTTATCTGGAGCCAAAACCCGGAAGTGGGAGCAGAGAGCAGGAGCTCTTTTGCAACCTAGGAAGCAGTGGGCGGCAGCAGCTTGTCCTGGCCTAACTCCTAGATCCTGACAGCCTCCTATGTCTCGCCCCATTTTCCTTCCCTCCCTCACCCAACAACTTTTCTTCTTCACCTGCACAGACCCCATATCTGTTCACCCAACAACTCACATGGACAGTTCTTCCCCAGGGATTTCGGGACAGCCCCCACTTCTTTGGCCAAGCACTACAAAAAGACCTCCAATCTTTCGACCTCGCCCCTTGCCACCTGCTCCAATATGTTATGACCTCTTGCTTTGCAGCCCCTCAAAAAAATGATTCTATATCCCATACTATCTCCCTCCTTAAATTCCTGGGAAAAAAGGGATACCATGTCTCAGAACACAAAGTTCAACTGGTACAGCAAAAGGTCACCTACCTTGGCCTTGACCTCACCCCTGCCACTTGCTGCATACCCAACTCCTGAAAACAGGCTATTAAGAATCCCCCCTTCCCCACTACAAAATGAGACCTTCTTTCCTTCCTGGGACTTCTTAGCTATTTTAGACTCTGGATCCCAAATTTCTCACTCATTGTAAAATCCCTTTATGAGGCCTCCTATGGGGATCCCCAAGAAAGGGTGCCAGAGACAGATTTAATTCCTGCTTCTTTCTGGGCCCTTAAGCAAGAACTCCTCAAGGCACCTGTTTTGACTCTAACTAACCCTAATAAACCTTTCTTTCTATTCTTAACCAGCAAAAAGGGACAAGCATTTTGGACTACTTGTATAACCAGCCAGGGATTCCTTCCAGCATGTTGCCTATTTGTCCAAACAACTCAACCTTGTGATAAAAGGCTGGCCTCTCTGCTTACAGATCCTAGCGTTAGCTGCACCCCTTATCCCCGAAGCCCAAAAAATCACTCCACCAGCCACTACAGGTACACTCCTCACACAACCTCTGCAACCTTCTCAGCCGCCGTGCTCTAACTCTTGTCTTCCCACTCGGAGTCCAAGTCTTATACTCTCAGCTTCTACAACCCTTGGTTACCTTCTGCCACTCTTGACCTAAACCCTGCCTCCCTCCTCCCAGTACCTAACTGCCCAGACTCCACCTCACAACATGAGTGCACCAAGCTCCTTGATTTCACTCTCACCCACTTCTATGACATAACCTCAGAACATATTCTGGGGTCTTCTGATTGGTTTATTGATGGGAGGGCTTCAAAGGCCACCCACTCCCTGGCAGGGTACACCATCATTGAGGGCTATTATGATAGCCAATCCTCCTACTCTCCCCGAGAAGTAATTGAGGCAGCAGCCCTCCCCCTGGGGACGACCTCATAGCAGGCAGAACTTAACTGCCCTCACCAGACTGGCAAAAGATAAAACTATCAACATCTATACATACTCCAAATACGCATATAATATCCTGCCTTCAAATGCCCAGATCTGGCACAAGAGAGGATTTCTAACAGCAAAAAACACCCCTATACAAAATGGACCCCTAATTCAAGATCTCCTAAAGGCAGCACTTCTACCCCAAGAGCTGCTGTCATTCATTGCAAGAGCCATTAAAGTCCTACCTTACATGATAAAAAATCTCAGTCACATCATTCGCGGAAATAAAGAGGCTGATAGAGTAGCAAAACAAGCAGCTATCAGCTCTCTCTCCATTCCCTGCTTCCGGTTCCCTCTTATACCCTCCTACTCATCCCAAGAATTAGCTCTACTCAAAGAACAGGGGGTTCTATAAGAAGGACAATGGTGGTTCCTCCATGGAAAATTGGTTGTTCCTGAAGGCTTACAAAATAAATTTCTTTCATCTTTCCATTACCGGTTCCATGCTGGATCATTCCCTCTGCTCCAACTCCTGCAGACCCACATATATTTTACTCCTGGTCTTAGATCTCCCTGCAAAAGATTATCACCCAATGCTCCATATGCCAAACCACCAACTATCAAAGCAACCTCAGACTTCCTCCCTTCCCTACCCATCAGTTCCGGGATCCCTGCCCAGCACTGACAGGCAAATAGACTTTACCCATATGCTTCTGGGAGAGAAATAAAGACCTCCTTGTCCTGTTTCACACCTTCTCTGGATGGATAGAGGCCTTTCTTACATCAAACAAAAGATCCTTCGCAGTAGCTCCTATCCTACTCACTGAAATCGTCCCCTACTTCGGAATCTCAACCTCTATTTAAACTGATAATGAACCTAAATTCACCTCACAGATCACCCAACGTGTAGCCTCTTCCCTAAATATAACCAGGAAGTTCCACATCCTATAATCGACCCCAGTCCTCAGGTAAGGTACAGAAAGCTAATCACCTTCTCAAACAGAGCCTGACCCAAGTTTTCCCTCAGGTTCATTTGCAATGGACTCAGCTCCTGCCCTTAGTCCTTTTTAAACTCAGGTCTCTCCCCGGGGAAACCTCTTATGCTCACTCAGCCCCTCTGAGGTTCTATATGGAAGGCCTTTTACTGCCTTCACTTTTCCCATCTCCAACTCAAACCTACCTCTCCCTCTTTCAAATTCTTTACTTAATACCCTTAGATATCTTATCTGCAACTATGCTGACTTCACCCTCCCAAACCCTCCAACAACCTACACTCCCTCACTCCTCCATCCCTACAACCTGGAGACTGTGTATATATGAAGCCCGTCAGCCCCTCCCAGGGGCTAAAGCCAAAATGACGGGACCTTTCCAAGTAATCCTGAGTACCCCAACAGCAGCCAAATTAAAAGGTCATTCCTCCTGGGTCCACTTTTCCTCTCTGAAAAAGGCTCCCCTTTTCCAGTGCACACCAATGGGACCCACATCCCTGAAGATCACCAAGCTGTCTCCCGTGGCTGAAGAGACCAGAGCCATGGCTAAACAGTCCCATGAGTCTCTCTCTCTTCATAACTTTGCCCTTTTCTTGACTGTCCTAATAAAAGAACTCTCCCATTACTCACCCTCCACCTGCTTAGATACAATAATCCAGGACCTACAGCTACAGGGAACCTTCTCAGATTTCTCCCTGAGACAAATCACCACTTTTACCTCCTGTGTTCTCCTGCTCCGATCCTTTCTTTCTCAATATTACTCATTCTCTTAACTCCTAACACCACAACACAGACCCTTCCAAAATACCTCAGTCAGACACTCTCCCACACAGCTCAAATCATCCAAACCTTTAATGGGATCATCCAGCCACCCTGTTGGGTCTGTCTCCACCTTTCCTAGATAGCAGACTCAGCCCCTCTGCTCCTCTCGGAACATGGGTCAACACTTCTGTAGGGCTACACTCCACCGAGACTGCCAGTCCCAGGGGTACAAGATCTGACATCAGACTTCCAGGGGCACTAAAAGATATCATACAGGTCTTAAAGGCTCACTGGCTTCTCCAGCAGTCCATAACCTGTCCCACCCAAAGTGGACTCCATCTAACCCAACCTGCTCCTTTGTGTATCTCTCGAGCCCAACAAGATCACTATATCCCAGTTGGTTCCGTCGGTTCCTTAGATCCCTCCC